CAAAAAGCCTCACCAACATGAAACTTACTTGGAAAAGGTGGAAATTTTGTAAATGAAATATATGTTAAATATCACCAAATGGCATGGAGAAAACAAAATTGGGAAGAGAATACAAAATGTATATGTAGTAGTGGAAAGAAGGATTATAATTTTAAATATGGTAGCATGGAAAGGTCCTACTGAAATGATTATTTGAGTTATAACATGAAGATGGAGGGCCAAGCATGGTGGCTCAGCCTGTAATCCCAGCACTTTGGGAGCCGAGGCGAAAGGACTGCCTGAGCCCACAGGGTTCAAGACCAGCCCAGGCAGCTTGGTGAGACCTCATCTCTACAATAAATCACAAAAACTCGCTGGGCGTGGTGGCATGCGTCTGTAGTTCCAACTACTTGGAAGGCTGAGGCGGAAGGATCGCCTAAACCCAGCAGGTCGAGGCTGAGGTGACCATGAGTGTGCCACTGCATTCCAGCCTAGGTGACAAGAACCTGGACACCAGTGATAAGTCAAACTTGGGACCTAAATCTTTAGGCAGACCTCAGTGATCATGTGTGGTAGGCAGAGTAATGGCCCACAGTGATGTCCATGTACAGAACAAGAAAGACGGGTAGATACTGTCAGATAATAAAAGTAGTCCGTAGAACTGAAAATGCAACTTTACTGTATGAACGGTGGGGGAGAAACAATGTGGAGCTAGGATATAACATAAAGCTGACATTCTCATCTTCCATGAGAAATGATTAGTGGAGATGATCTAAAACTTTAAATAAAGACAAAATTATGAACTTCGCAGCAACTTGGATGGACTTAGAGTCTATAGTACTAAGTGATCTATCACAGAAACTGTAAGAAAGGGATTGGCAGTAGTGGGAAACTGCCAGGGGAGGGGGGGATGGGTTTGTCAGTAGTGGGAAACTGACAGGGTGTAGGGGGTACAACTCATCAACAGGGGTACCTGAATAATAAACATTTGTAAATTAAGCCTGAATTGTACTCCACATCTTTAAAATAGAATTTTTTTTTTAAAAAAAAGCCTTATACAAGCATATTATTCAGAGTTATAGGGGTAACAGCAAAAGGAAAAAAGCCTTTAGCTCTACCCTCTTGTTTTCTTAAAACACACTTGCTTATTATGCTATTAAAATTAAAAATTATATGAATAAACCCCAGTCTTCTAGTAAAGATAATCTAATTTGAAAAATAATGCTTTTATTTAATTAGGAAAAAGATCATTTTATTACCAACAATTAGACCTAATAATATTCATCCGAAGTCATGTGTATTTTAATAAGCTCTAAGTGAATATGATTGCACATTTTTTAAAAAACAAACAAAAATATTCATATTTGTTGCTGCTTAGCAAATTACCACAAATTTACCAGCTCAAAACACAAATTCATTACCTCACAGTTCTGTAGGTTGGAAGTACATGCACAGCATGACTGGATTCTTTGCTCAGCTTTTTACAAAGTGGAAATCAATGTGTCAGCCAGACTTAATTCCTACCTAGTGGCTCTGAGGAAGAATTTGCTTCCAAGCTCCTTCAGGTTGAGTGCTGAATTGTTGTGTTTGTACAGTTTAGGTCCCTACTTCCTTGCTGGCTGGCAGCTGGCTACATTCTTTCGTGTAGGATGCCCACAGCCCACATATTTTGTGGTCTCCTCCATCTTCAAAGTCAGCAAAGGAGAATCTGTCTCCCACTAGAGCCCAATCAGGCCTAGAATCTGTTTCACCAGATAGAATCTAGGGCCCTTTAAAGTGCTTGCCTGACTAGATCAGGATTATCAAAGTAGTCTTCCTGTTTTAAGGTAAATTGCTTTCATACCTTCATTAATTACCTTAGCAAAAACTCTTCACACCTCTACCCAGGTACCTAGATTAGTGTTTGATTGCATAACTGGGGGAAAGTGTGTGTATACTGGAGAAATGGGGAATCTTACAGGCTATTTCAGAATTTTGTTTCCTACAGCAAGAAAATCAAGATTATAATCTCTTCAATAGAAATTAATAGTTTGCTTACTGCAAGTCAAAAAAATACTCTAAGCATATAAACGCAATACTGAGCTTTTTCCCAGCTTTTTTGGGATCTAATTGTTAAATAAATGTATATATTTAGGGTGTGTGCTGTTTTGATATGTGACACATTGTAAATAATAATTACCATTTCAAGTTAATTAATATAGCCATCATCTCACATGGTTATTTGTATGTGTATGGTTAGAACATTGAAGATCTACTTCCTTAGCAAGTATCCTGTCTTCTAAAAATAATGTTTCTTCATAAAATGGTCTGCTGTTCAGGCAGAATAAGTAAAATTTAGGAACAAACTTAAAAGACAAAAGGAAAGCAACATGATATATAAGACTTCTTAAAACTGACTCCAATTATTTTAAAGACCATTTCACGGGTTCGAGACCCGCCTGGGCAGCGAGACCTCATCTCTACAATAAATCAAAAAATCAGCCAGGCGTGGTAGCGCGTGCCTGTAGTTCCAGCTACTCGGAAGGCTGAGGTGGAAGGATCGCCAGAGCCCAGCAGGTCGAGGCTGCGGTGGCCGGGAGCGGCCACTGCACTCCAGTCTGGGCGACAGAGTGAGACTCCAACTCAAAAAACAAACAAACAAACAAACAAAAAAACCCAAAAAAACAACCATTTCAATCATATCTAAGTAGTTGATATATCTCATTATGGTAGCCTAATGCTTTTTTAAGTATTTTAAATCAAAGGTTAAACAGTGAATAGAATGCTCCATGAAGGCAGCAAAATTGATTTGTAGTTGATACTAAAAATGACTGTTTTCATATTGTTGGCCCTTCCCCCACATTAGTTAGGAAATGTGCTTTAAAGAAAACCATCTGGGGGAAAAAAAAATAAGACTAGATTGAAGCTTATGGCCAGGGAAAGCTATCAGCAGTAGGAGGATATCCTATTATATTTGCTAATCAAAACAGTATTCTGTTATTGGAACTATAAAATGTATCCTTTTCTGTACTTTTTTATTGCTCTTCCCTCTTTTTTGGTAATTCTTAGCATTATCACTTAATGTAAGAAACAAGACAAAGAGCTAAATTAATCTCAGTTCTCATCCTGCTGTGCAACTTTGGAAAATTCATTTATCTCTGGGTCTCACCAGCTGCATTTGTGAAATAAAATCGTTCTAGAATTCTGGAGCTGAAATGGACCTTTGAGAGCATGATCCTTACAGTTCCACCAAACTCTAAGGTCACATTTACCCAAACATCAACTTTTAAAAAAGAAAATATTCCACTTAAGTAGAGAAATGTGATACTTTAATGGATATAACAGAGTATTTGGTTTCCTGGTTGGAATAAGTTATCACTTTTAATATAAGAGTAAGTTTCTACAGATGTTTTAGCATTTCAACAAATGAATCCTTTTGATCCTGCCCTTGTCCCCTTGCAATCCAATACACTGGACTAGTCTTTTGCTTATGTTGTCAAGTTCTTTATTTATATAGTTTTTTAAATGTCATTATCCTACAAAACTATAGATGCTTCCAATTTCAAGACATAATGTATTAAAATCAGTTCAGTCTTCCTGTAACAATAAAGCCATCTCACCCTGTTTGGCATGATATACAAAAATATGAGAAGGCAGAATGTACAATTATATTACCCTGAACTTTAGTGCTATATTGACATTCCAGGGTCTTTAATATAATTTAATTCAATTCATATTTACTGAGAGGTAAATAATGTCTAATTTTGTGTTACACCACAAGTTTCTTAGAGACATCTTTTATAGTCCCAGACATAGCACACTATTGAAAACTTAGTAGATTCTCAAAATGTTTCCAGAATGAGTGTAGAAAATGCATAGTTCCTGCTTTCATCTAGTGGGAAAGATAAAAATATGACTAATGACAGAATGAAATAAAATACTAAATCACATGGTGGTATTTGTGTTATACAGAATGGCCCCCAAAGATGTTCATGTCCTAATCCCAGGAACCTGTATGTTGTTACATAGCAAAAGGAACTTAAATTTACAGATGGAATAAGGTTGCTGATCAGCTGACATTAAATCACATGAGCTCTTAAGCCAGGAAGAGGGAGGCAGAAGAGTGAGGCAGACAAATGTGACATAAGAACCAGATTTGCCTTTGTTGGCTTAGAAAAAGGAGAAATGGAGCCAAAGAAGCCAAAAAAAATGTGGGTGGATGCCAGAAGCATGGAACAGCAAGGAAACAGCTCCTCCCCTACAGCCTCCAGAAAAGAACATAGCCCTGCTGATACCTTGATTTTAGCCCAGTGAGACCCACATTGTGTTGTTTTAAGACACTGAGTTTGTAGTAATTTGTCAGGGAAACCATAGGAAACTAATCGGAGTCAGAGAATTGGTTTCAGCTGTGAAAAGGCTTCATGGTGGTTATTCCACTGAGACCTGAAATGCTTGGGTGTAGTGGAGAGGAACAGTTATGAGTTAAAATCTTACTACTCCAAGTGTGGTCCCTTCTGAGTAGCACTAGCAGAAACTTCTGAGTAGCACTAGCAGAAACTTTTTTTTAGAAATGGAAAATGTCACCTCAGGCTCCACTACAGACCTACTGAGTCAGCATCAGCATTTTAACAAGATCCCCAGATAATTAGCATTCATATTAAAGTTTGAGAAGCACTAGATTAAATTTAATACAAACTGTTTTAAAATGTGAAGAAGTGTTTCAGTTTTCTTTTTTGATGCACAAATGTCTACAGCAAAATATTTAAGGATTCCAATAAGAAGACTGCTAGGTTGCTGTTTGTTACCACTGACAACAGAAAAAAAAAAAGACATTTCTACTGTTCTTAAATAATGAAGAAAGCCCTTCATTCTTCAGTAAAATCCATCTGCCCCGACCTGTAGAGTTTTCCTTCTTTGAAAATTCCCTTAAGTTGAAAGATTATAAATATCAAAATTTTATTAACTTAAAAAAATATTAGAATTCTTGGAATACTCATAGAGCCATCTTGTGGGGGACAAAATAATTTCAATCACAGAATAAATTTTCTTTAATTACTTTAATATAAAGGCAATATTCAATATTCTACATTTCACATAATGTTTGAAAACAAGTTTTAAAATCTTCTAGTAAGTATTTAATGAAAATACATTTATTGAAGGGTAACAATGTCCACAAAATTAATACTACCAAAATATTACTGATGCCTTTTGCATTATTAATATTTGGAGGGTACATGTAGAAAACATGAAACAGCATACAGACATTTTAAAACTACATTTTACCCAGCCTCCATCTTTTTGCTAAATCTTGTTCATACTAGCAGATATATTCAAGATATATAAAGATATCCAGCTAAAATCATGTTTCAAAGATGTTAATATAGCTCTCCACCAATTATATGGCATTGCAAATCCTTACACCCACCTACAAAATTAAAATAAACAATAACCCAATGAGTCTTTCTAGGCAAAAGATTCAGTTAAAAAAGAGAACATTAACAAAGAATTAGTGATAGTGACCAGAATAAGACAATCAGTATAATCAAGAAAGGTATGTGATTATTCAACATAATTTGATATGGACAGATCAATGCAACTCACTCAATAAGTAGACAACATTGTTAGGAGAGTGGGCAATATGATCCAGAGACCTGTGTTTAAATTCACATATAATAATCTTATTTCAATCAACCTGTAAAGTAAAAGTACTAAATCCACATTAACATTATAACATACATCTTACAATAATATAAAAGTCAAATCATTATTGGTACTTTTTTTCCGTTAAAGTACACAATTTAAGAAAACTTCACAAGAGTGTACACTTTTGAAAGTTATGATCAGTGTATACAGTATAGTCAAAACAGGCACCTTCATTATAATTTTTTTTAATAAATAAAAGCATATTAACAAAAAAAGGTAAGCAGCACCTGAAGCCTTTGAATTTATAACTAAATGCTGGTACCCAAATAGTCTAGCCAGTTAAGTTTCACTAAGAGGTGCAAAAAGGGAGCCATTTTAGACTTAACATTTTAATTCTAGTAGAGAAAAGAGCATGTGTGGGCTTACAGTCCTGTCACCCGACGATGAGTAGCATACCAGTCTTTCAAGTGTCCTATACTTTGGAAAGCAGACCTGACTCTGGAGCACTTGCCTTAATTAGATTCTGAATCTCCTTGAATTTTGGATGGTCTTTATCAGCTACCAGCTGAAGCAGAATAGCCTCACTCGTGGTCACTATGATTCCAGTTCGAGCAAGACGCTTAAAAAAAAAAAAGAGAAATAAAGACAAACCAAGAAGTAAGCATGAGAAAAAACAACTATTTTAAAATAGCAAAAGTATGCTGGGACATAATAATTAGTGTCCTTTCCTAACATCACAGTCCTCAGCCACGTCATCAAATTTAATGATTGGGACGGAATTCAAAACTAGCCATACTACACAGTCAACAGAATTAGACTCAGTATTAGCAAAATGGACTAGAAACAAGTAAAAGTAAACAGGTAGCCAATGTTATAAACTATATGTGCCTGGAACAGGAAAGTCATAAAGGCTAATGATTGCAAAACATGAGATGAGACAGAAAGAAAGGAATGGTTGTGAACTATATCCCCATCAATGAATACTTGGACACTTCTAATTGCTATTTCTTAAACACTGCAGGTTTGTGCTTCCTTGTTCACTCAAAGGAGAACAGCTTCTGATTTACTGCTAAATGTATTCAATTTGTTTATTTCTTTTTTACTATTAGATAAAAAGGGGCCTCTGTATACATTACCCCTACCATAGTTTAACTGAGATAATATACGAAAGCATGCTATATATTAGTACTTATGTCTGGCATCCCTGATATTTAGTAGCCATTTATCTTTTTAATGGTGGGGAGGGAGCAATACTTCTAAAGTTTGATTAGCTGTGCTATGGATATAACTGTAGCTGGCTAAAATATTTCATTAAATAATTATCCAATCTCATATAACTAAAGTTTTTAATTGGATTAAAACTACTATAATAATTAAAATGATGATTCTTTATTTCTTTTTTCTTTCTCCAAACATCTGACCTACAGCATGTGCATCCATCCTGTAAATAAGAGTGCTTTTCACGTATGTTTATTGCAGTATTGTTCACAATAGCAAGAACCTGGAAGCAACCATGCTGCCCATCAAAAGAGGACTGGATTTTAAAAATGTGGTACATATACACAATGGAATACTATGCAGCCATAAAAAAGAACAAAATCATGAATTTCGCAGTAACCTGGATGGAACTAGAGTCTATAATACTAAGTGACCTCTCACAAAAACAAAGGTCGAGTATCACATGTTCTCACTCATATAATAGACCTTGAACATCCAACCTAATACTATAAGAAAATGACTGACAGTAGTGGGAAACTATGGGGGGGGGAGATGGGATTAACGGTAGCAAATATCTGTCTGGGGATGGGGAAGCACCTCTTATCAATAGGGTGCCTGAATGAAACGTATTTGTATACCTAACCCTTAACTGTACCCCACAACATCATAATAAAAAATATTGATTATAAAAAAAAAAATTAAGAGTGCTTTTGTCTAGAAAAAATTTGGTGGTAAAAGAGCTTTCTCTGAAGTTTAAGAAAGTGCCCCCAGATGATACAGGAACTGCCTTCACTGCTACCAACATAAACTTTTTAGAATCATTAAACGAGAGTATAAAATTCAAGGTTATATAAAATTTCACTGACAATCAAAGAATGGCCTTGCCAAGTTACTCCAGTGGAATCATAATAACCTTAGGTAAACTCAAGGAAGGGAAGAGGAGGAGGAAGGGGAAAGAAAAGAGGAAGGAAGGGAGGGTGGAGAGCCAAGAGCAGAAAATAGGAGGAAAAGAGGACAGAGGGAAGGAAGGAGGGAGAAGAGAATTCTATAGCAGAGATTCATTTTAGATTTGTTATCAGAATCCAGGGGAGGTGGGGGAATAGGCAAACTGCTATCACAAAAAGCATCCACTGTAAGAACCATGGAAGAAGTGGTTAGAAACAATTCCTGAAAAAGTCAGAGGAAAAAGCCCGAGAGCATTTGCACAGCCAGGAGCATCCCTGAGGAGTGGAAGTACATCTTCCTTCAGATGGTTGTACATCAGCAGATCCAACATTTCCACTGGTAGACTTTGTCTTTTTAATCTCAAGGGAGTATAAGTCATCACTACTTATCAGAAAGCAAGCTTGTACCTCAACAACCAGAATAGAAAAAGATACATAACAGCTAACCAGAACTCTCTAGAAAAGAAAAAAAATATCAGGGAGGTTATGGGGGAGGGAGAGTGAGGCTGTTAGTTCAGATAAATACCAAAGGTGAGTTAATTTCTGAGTTTTTTTGTTGTTTTTCTTTTTTAAGATTTCTGAAAACTCTAATTTCCTCCTCCTTGCTTTTTAGTTAACTATCATATCAAAATCCTTTGAAAATGCCCAAAGATCATAAGCTCGCTTCAGATAAAAAGACAGAGAATAAATGTAAGACTGGTTGCAGTCCAGTTGTATGAAAACAGCACTGAACGTCCAGCTATTCAAGCCCAGCTCTCTCACTCACCAGCGGCCTGCATTGCCCTGCCCTCCTTACTGCCCATTGTTGAATCAATGGATTTCCAATGATTCTGTCTAATCTGAATTATAAACTTTCAATGTCTATGAAAATGCTTTAGATTGTATACTCCAAAGTGCCAACAAAGGTCAGTTCTCACTAATCCATCTAATTCCTTAGTGAGGCAGGAAAGAGAAATCTGTTCCTAGGGCTAAGCATAAAAATCTGTTGATCCCAGAAGAAGCCTGTCTACAATGTCCAGACTTCTTTAGACTTACTGAACCCAAGGCTGGCCCATGATACCCCATGAAGCCTCTGTGAGGCTAAGAGGTCACCATGGCAAAGACAGGGTACGATATGTGCATCACAGAAATACGTTTTAGTAATGTGACACCTACACACTATTACTTAGCTTCAAGATTGAGATATGGCCAGCTCGGACAGGATTTTAAAATAATCTAGCCAGAAAACTGTGCCAGGGGAAGGCATGGCTTACCAAAACACAATTTCTAGACCAGGCTCCTAGACCTGCTTCAATGGAAAGGTTGCCTGAACAGAGAAAGAATAGCAGTAGCTTTCCAGACATACCTGGCAGTCCTGCCCACCACCCTGACAATACTGGTCCCAAGTCACTTTCTCTCCTGGCTTAAAAAGGAGCAATCAGTGAAAACTCCAGCCACTGAATACACACAGGTGCATGTGCATTAGGTTTCTCAAGTTCTCTCCTTACACTTGCAAAACCAATCCAACTAGGCCAATCCAAAGGAAAAGAAAAGTTGCTCTGACCTACAAACCTGAAAATGCAAGTCCACAAAGCCATGAAAGTTTCAGAGAGGGAGGTAAAAGACTAAACCCATTAAATTTCCAAGCAACACTAAAAATTCCCAGAAGCACAAGGGCATCACATTTAAGAGAGGGTTTTATTATCTTTTTTTTTTTTTAGTTGGAGTCTCACTCTGTCACCCAGAGTGGAGTGCAGTGGCCGCTCCCGGTCACTGCGGCCTCAACCCGCTGGGCTCCAGCGATCCTTCCGCCTCAGCCTTCCCAGTAGCTGGAACTACAGGCACGCGCTATCATGCCCGGCTACTTTTTTTTTTCTATTATTGTAGAGATGAGGTCTCGCCAAGTTGCCCAGGCGGGTCTCGAACCCGCGGGCTCAAGTAATCCACTCACCTCAGCCTCCCAAAGTGCTGGGATTACAGGCTGAGCCACCGAGCCTGGCTGGGTTTTATTATCTTATTCTGCATTTATTTACTGGACAATTATTAGTTGAAACAACGCCTTTCAGATGACAGGTACTCAGCAAACATTTCTTGAATAAAGCATATGCTACAGGTCCTGGCACAGTGATTCACTGACTCCTTAACTCTGTGTGACATCGTGACACTCTAGTGCCAGACAGCCATGAAACATTGTAGGTGAATGGTGTCCACAGTCAATGAAACACCTTCTAGTCCCAGAAACTCAAGTCTGAGGAAACCTAACACAGTTGTCCCTCGGTATCCTCAAGGAACTAGTTCCAGGACCCCACCCCCACAATACTAAAATCCGCAGGTGCTCAAGTCCCTGATGTAAAAAGGCACAGTATTTGCACATAACTTATGTACATCCTCCTGCATACTTTAAATCGTCTCAAGATTACTTTTAAGACTTAATATAATGTAAATGCTATGTAAATAGTTGTTATACTATACCTTTTTATGTTATTTTGTATTGTTATGTTACTCTTTATTATAATTTTTTGTGCATATTTTTAATATTAGGTTATTTGAATCCATAGATGTAGAACTCATGGTTCCAGAGGGCCAATTATAGAAGGATGAATCAGGTGTGGGCCCATTCTGCCCTGGTTTTTTGGCTAGATCTTGGCTGTGTTAAACCAAGGTGAGCTGCTTTTAATTTACAAACCTCTAAACAGTTCATGTTAGGCTTCGTGGAATACCTGTTAGTGCATGTACAAAACTGGAGCAAAATTACAACACTAAAGACACAAAGGAACTTTTGGCATCACTAGAAATCTAGATCTAAGGAGACAAGATATAAAGTAAGACATGGTGGTGGGACCTTAATGGTTGGTCAGTACACAACTGATGTTGTCAGACTAAGTCAAATTTAGGAGGTAAACCTTTCATTACTATTAAATATCTCGTACTCTTCTAATTTAATAGGAAAACTTGACAAATGATCTATTTTCAAGCAGGAGTAAACTTTCATTACTATTAAATATCTAGTACTCTTCTAATTTAATAGGAAAACTTGACAAATGATCTATTTTCAAGCAGGACTAACCTCAAGAGCAAACATCCTGTCCATCATGCTTCTCGATGAGGTGGCATCAGCAACAATATGAACCTCAACTCCTCGGCCAACTAACTCCAGAGCAGTTTGCTGGATGCACACATGAGTCTAGAACCAAGTAAAAATCATATGCAATAATGGGGTATACTAAGAGTAGTTTACAAATAAATGTACAAGAACACGATAAAACAAAAAGCACTGCAAATCTAAGAACTTTGTCCTACATCTACCTTTGCCTCTAATTAGCTAATTTTGAGCATGAGGTAGCACCTTTGGCTTTGGTTTATTCATTTGTAAAATCAGAACTGGATTATACTAGTGTTTCTAAGCTACAAATCTTAAACAAATTCTTAGAGTTCTAGGAGACTTTCTTGAAGATTTTGTTCGGTAATCTTCATGACTTTCATATAGCCTACTACTACTACTACTCATTTTTAGACTTGCATTTGGGTTAATGTCTACATTTACTCTAAGTGCCCAACATGAAGAATGAGTCTGCAGTACTGCAGACTGAGATAATAGTGGGAAACTGAGTTATTACAAGGCACTCAGTAGAAAAGGTAGGCCAGGTTAAAAATAACTTATCACAGTCAAAAAATAGCCAGTTCACATCACCAAGAAATGTATTATGCAGATTCCATCATTATAAGTAATGATTTCATAACAATTCATTAACAGAGACTACAGAGTACACCATAACTGAATTATATATATAAGCAATGAAAGCACATTTCAATAATGTCACAATGTCAACTTTATCTTCACAGGACAAGAGAGTTTTGGAGAATTGCCAACCAACACCTCATTAAAATTAGCACTGGAGGACTACTCAAAGGTAATTTTTTGATTAAGCATAAGGTCCAATTATGATGAATAAGCAAAAAAAGTGCAAAGCCAGCAACAGCATGTGGTATGTTATATTTATACAAACAGGCTTCTTCTATACTGTCATGGTTGAACTCAAAATACAGAAATATATTTTATGCACAACTAAACTTGAGATGATAGCTTGCTATTATTAAAAATGTATATATAAAATCTTTCAAAATATCACAACCATATTAAAGCAATATTATTTTGATTTCATTGATTTTATAGTTTTGCTTACAGTTTCTAAAATTTTAGTTTAATAGGTAGGAATAAGTCAATTGAAATCAGCATTAGGAATCCATGAGTATTTTTTTCTGTAAAAGGACACGTACATGATTCAAATTTGAAAGACAATGAACAACATGACCTCCAAGGTTTTTCTAGCACAAAAATATGACCTAATTGAAATCTTACGACACATAAATAAAAATAATGCCTTTGGTGAAAATGAACTCCAAAAGCAGTCATTAAAACTATAGGTCCAAGAATCAATCACCCTGGATTCAAATCCAGCTCCATCCCTCCCTGGCTGTCTTTTAACTAAAGTGAGCTGTTTTTAATTTAAAAACCTCTAAACAGTTCAGGGTAGGCTTCTTGGAATACCTCTTAGTGCACGTATAAAACTAGAGCAAAATTACCACACAAAAGACACAAAAGAGCTTTTGGTATCACTAGAAATCTAGATCTAAGGAAGAGACAAATGCTATAAAATGAGGTCAGGCGTAAGGTCTAATGAACTGCTCTGTTCTTCGAGAAGAAGAGATCTAAGTCTGACACCTGTATTCTTAAAATATATTTACCACAATCAGGAAAATCAGTAAATTAAGATGAAAACTGGGTATCAAATTATCAAGTTTCACATTAATTGCTGTAGTTGGTCTACCCTAACAATTTGGGCCCAATATAGATCTACCAAAAAGCGAAAATCACCACTGAATACAAGAATTTAGTTTCACTGGTTTCTTAAAAGTCTGTAAGTCTAACCTTGGGCAAGTTGTATAATATCTCCATATTTTCGTTTTCTCATCTGTAATATGGGGAGACTAGGAGTACTTGACTGTAAATGTAGGGTGGTTGTGAGAGACTTAATGAGTTAACAGTTATAAAGCATTTAGATCAGTGCCATGTAAAGAGTGAATACAATACAAGGTGGCTACTTCCATCATTATTACCATCTATACGGCATTCAACATACAAAAAAATTAAGTTTTCCATAAATGATATTGTGCCCAAAACATAAATAGCAGGTACTTACTTCTACTCCAAATAATACAACACTCCTGACTCCAGGAATCTCTGCTAATGCTGCTTCTACTTCTGGTAATACCATTGAAAACTTGGTCTTTGGAAGTACCAGCTTAACACCTGTTAAATCAATTTCTTGAACAGTACTTCCAAGACCTTTTGGGTACTGTTCTGTTACAATAACTGGAATTCCTAAGATTCGGGCCCCTTGCAACTGAAAAAAATAACCAAACACAAAAACAATTAGCAATACACACACACACACACACACACACACACACACATGGATGTATATCATACTTCAGCAAATTGGAACAAATAAATAAACAAGTATACCAATCTTTGTCCCACGCTAATAATGTCCCCAAAATACTTGATGGCTGGTCTGAACCTTTCCTGCATATCACAGCAGAAAAACACAGTGCTTGAAGGTGTAAGATTTCCCAGGGTAGTGAGCTGATGAAAAAAAGAAAAAAGAATGATTTAGTACTTGTTATCCAATGCCATTTATTTTCACTATAGGTCAATAAAGAAAGAAAAATGTTCTTATTGTTTAACCCAGTAAGGCAATTTCTACTACTATTATCCAAAAGAAAGTATCTGAATTACAGAAAAAAAAAATTACCCCAAAGTAGTTTTCTAAATTGCTTTTAATAGTGAAAATTAGAAATAAACCAAGGGCCAACAATACAGAAATGTTTTAACAAATCTTAACATGTCCACATGACAAAACATTTTTTAGCCAATTAAAAAAACGAGTGGAAAAAATATTCATAATATAATGTTAATTTTTAAAAAAGGCATATTCGCCAGCATTTCAATAATGTAAAAAATATAAACAAAAAAGTAGAAGCAAAAACAGTATATGAAAATATTAACTAGTGTTTATAGAATTTAGGGGTATAGGTGATTTTTTTTCTATCTTTCTTATATTTTCTAAATGTTATTTAACATTAAAATTTCCTTAATGTTACTTTAAAATGTTTCTTTTATCATCATAAAAGATGCTACAATAGTAAAAAAAAATTTGATGATGATACTGCTTACAAGTAAAAAAAAAAAATTTTAAATCCATGGCAGAGATTGTAAAACAAAAAACCAAAAATAAAACAAAAAACAGAAACAAATCCAGAAATATTGCTATCATCAAGATAGAAATATAAAGATTCTATTCTCAAAAATGACTTTGAGAATTCAAAAATGCCATAAAATGATACCAAGTAGAAGATCTAATGAACTGCTGTTCTTCAAGAGGAAGAGACCTAGTTTAATACCTGTATTCTTAAAATATATTTACCATAATCAGAAAAATGAGTAAATTAAGATGAAAACTAGGTATGAGATTATCAAACTTCATGTTAATTGCTGTAGATGGTCTACCCTAACAATTTAGCCTCAATATAGATCTACCAAAAAGCAAAAATCACCACTGAATATAAGAATTTAATTTCACTGGTTTTTTAAAAGTCCACAATGAATAAAGTCTATAATCGTGAATAACAGAAAGCTCTTTAAAGGTGTACTGTGGTCCTGAATGAACCAATATCAATACTCTCACTAGCCACTACTTAAATCTCTCCTTTATTCTTTTTGCTCCTCCTAAAACTGCCGCAGATAACAATTAATAATACTCTAGAGGAGTCTGTCCCAATTACATGACTGGTTTCACCACCATCACAGCTTCAGACCCTGCCTTAGTATCTCTGCATGTGGCAAGACTCTTAGGGAATTTAGGGAAACAATTACTACAAGAATTAATGAATCTTATGACATCTTTTATCCTCAATGATATAACTGTTCTAATTTATCTATACTCTGATCTGAGGGATCTGGCATTTTAATCTCCCTCTGGTACTGGTTCTATAGACTGATTAGCCATGTATAATCCAGCACCAAATTCATGTTAGAATGTGAGAGTCATCTGTAATTCTAACATTATGTATAGAGTTTTCCTACTTTTCCAGTAAAGTATGATTAAAATAAATATTCAAGCATATTAAATTATATATTTTAGCCATGGCTGCTTCTTTACTCAATTTTTTAATGCAAGTATTATGCCTCTTTTTGATTGTTTTCAAAATCAGTGAGTATGATCTGGACATATATAAACATTGCTAGGAAGGCCAATTATTATGTATTTAGGATACTAGTTTCAAAACCAATCACTATTTATGACAATGTATTTTAAATTCACAGTAAACATTAAGCCTTGGCTCAAAAGTTTCAAAATCTACATTTTTAAAAAAATAAATTGGAATATAGCTTCCTAGTCATCCACAATGTGCTTAGGGTATACTGTATCAAGCAGTTTGCCAGCAACTGGCCTATCTGAAATAAGAATAATGCAACTCAGTCAATCTCACCATTCTACAACAGGTGAGAACCAGCAAGAAAGTCAAGTAAACCTTCCCAGGCAATTATGTAAGTATGGTGATGGCTACCCATTAACATGCTTAAAGTTTATAACTGTTTAGATTCTAGCTCTCAGAACCTATCTCAGACTGTATTGATGAACTTTGTATATATTCCTAACAAATTTGGTTATCTAGATTCTGGATTTCCATATGGCTAAAAATGGCTAAATCAAAAAGGAAACTGCTTAAGGGCAGGAAAACTGACAGCAGTAATATATTATAGCTGACAGAGAAAAGATTCAAAATATAATAAAAAACAGATCAAAACTCAAATAGTTCTGCAGCCTAGGCCTCTGGTGAAAGAGGCTGTTACAACTTATAAATTAGGGAAACATCATTCTAGCATATTCATTAAGAAAATGTTAAATTAGACCAGGCACATTGGTTCATGCCTGCAATCCTAGCACTTTGGAAGGCTGAGGAAGGATGACTGCTTGAGCCACGGAGTTCAAGACCAGTTTGAGCAACATAGCGAGACCTCATCTCTATGAAAAAAAGAGAAAATGTTAAATTATATATTTCAGAAGCAAAACAATATAAAATATTTTTTAATTGGAATATATAAATGAGTACATCATTATGTACCCTGAAATTCTAAATATTTAGTGTTGTGGTTTTCAAGTTTTTATCACTTGGTGCTTTTCTGTACCTCATTTTAGCTGTGAGATATACTGTTTTGGACAGGGGAACATATCAGACTATGAATTCATATTAAGCACAAATTGAGATCAGAAAACACAGTCCTGAAATCCTCACCACCCTGCAAAATCTTTCTAGTATAAGAATCTACCATATATAAACACTCAGTAAACAAAGAAATCATAGAGAAAACATTAACAAAGCACATTTTTATGCCACGACTACTGGTCATAATTTAGTGAATCAAAAATGTCCTACATTTCATAAGTACTTTCCACATCTCCTTGAATGTGATGTGCAGAGTATTTACGAAAGGAGTTTAACTCCCCACATCCTCTTGAAAGGGGCTACATTTAGTAATTTGCTTATAAGAAAATAGATGGGGATGAGTAACTTTACAGTGGAGAATTCTGGCAAACAAGTCTCAGCCAAGTGCTCAAGATTAATGTAATTAATGATGTCATGCTGAGAATATGTATCCTTGATATGATGAGAATGACCTTCAGGATCTTCCTCTCAAAAATGCCACAACCCCCTTCTAACTATGAGAAAAACATCAGGCAAAACAAAATTGAGGAACATTCTACCAACATACCTCATTAGTATGCCTCAAAACTGTCAAGGTCATTAAAAAGAAAAGCCTGGTACACTGCCACAGCCCAGAGGAGTCAAAAGAGACATACAGCTAAGTGTAACTGGATTTTGGAACAGAAAAGGGACATTAGGGAAAAGCTAGTGAAATCTGAATAAAGTGTGAAGTTTAGTTAATAGCAATGTACCAGTGTTGGTTCTTTGGTTGTAATAAATGTACAACATGTTGGGTTTTTTTTGGTTGTGACAAATGTACCACAGTAATGTAACAAAAATGGAGAATCTAGATACAGAAATACAGGAAGGAACGGTCTGTAATATCTCTGCAATTTTGTTATAGATCTAAAATTATTCTAAAATAAAAAGGTAATTTAAAAATTTTAATGGCCTTCCTATACTATGGTAGGGGGAAAAGATGCTACTTTATGAATAACCTCCATACTTTAAAAGTCAGAAGGAAGGCTTTGTGACTACAAAAATAAGACCAAGAAACTCTAACCATGCTCGCCAATCCTTCACCCTTCATCCCAAATTCACATGAATCCAAACAGTCCTGTTAAAATGATTTAACTCTCTATAATTCAAGAATTTCTTACTTTGACACATACACTTCTCTTATACCAAAATCTTTTAGATCACTGAAAACATTTCCAGTAGTCAAACATTTACATGTTACAACTGCAAGATGGTCAATGCTGCCACAGCAAATTAAAAGTGGACTTGACTAAAGAACGTGAGTAAAAGTATAGCAATAAGAGATCCATGCATCTTCAGGAAGCATGCAGAAATCATATACAATATGAGTATCTACACACCTTCATATATCTATATACCTATGTATATTCCTATACATACATATGCACATATACATACACACGTATACATTTAAATATAAAAAGCTGATCACAGCAAATGGCTTCCTCAAGCAAGAGGAAGTGGAGAGATCAGATTCAAGTATAAAATTTATAAAATGTATAAAGCAAGAGGAAGGAAGAGATCAGATTCAAGTGTAAAATATTTGCCCACTTTCTTAAGAACTGTGATAGCTGGGATTTGACCTTAGATTTTACATCCCAAAGACTTTTCATTGCCTAGTCCCAATATTACTATAATCATGCCAGTATCCACCCTTCTTCATTACCAAATGTGCACTGATCATTTTCCAGCAATGACAGCTACATCTGCAAGGGGCTACATCTGCCCTACTCTTGCTCAGTCTCCTTGGTTACTCAGGACAGGCACACACAGGGTGGCTGGACTATTTAGTGATACACTGTGTGTCAACTCTATTCTATCCATGAAAGTGATGCATGGTGAGTATACATCACTTTGTTGAATTGTGGCCCCTAAAATTCATATGCTGAAGTCATAATCTCCAGTACCTCAGAAAGTGGCCTTATTTGAAAATAGGGCCAATGCAGCTATAATTAGTTAAGCTACGACCACGCTGAAGAATGGCTGGTGTCCTTATAAAACAAGGTAGACAGACAGGCATACACGGAGAATGCCTTGTGACCAGAAAGGCAGAGATTGAGGTAATATATCTAAAAGCTAAAGAACAACAAAGACTGCTAACAAACCACCAGAAGCTAGGAAAGAGAGGCAGGGAACAGATTCTCCCTCACAGTCCTCACAAGGAATCAACCCTGCTGAAACCCTGATCTTGAACTTCTGGTCTCCAGAACTATGGGAAAAAAATTCTGTTGTTTAAGCCACTTGGTTTGTAGCACTGTTATAACAGTCCTCTAGCAAATTACTACAGTGACCAACCTGTATATCTTTAGGAATGACTAAAGTTTGAAACTGTGAATGTGATGTTGTAGAAATGTAGTAGTTTATTAGAGTCACAAAATAAGCATGATTTGCTTGGGAGAGAGCCCAGAATAAGGTCTGGGGTATCATTATTTCACTCGGAAGTATTTCCAAGAAAATACAATCACCATAGTTGTAGTAAGGTCTTGCTCTAGTGTCAACTCATCTAAAACAGAGGTCTGTGATGTGATTTCCCCTGGTTACAAGGATTCTCCATATAGAACAACCTGGTAGGCATTAGATTCCAAGTCCAAATCTCAATTTCACTAATTTCCATTATGTAAACTTAAGTAAATCATTAACATCTCCACACATAGTTTTCTTATCTATAACACAACAAGCTAAAAAGTATCTATCTCACAGGGCTGTTTCAAGGGATTAAATGAGCTTCAAGTGGCCAATCAATAAATGTATTAAGCTACTGTGACATCCCTCATATATGAAACACTACACTCTAAAACCCGGCATATGTTTAAAAACTTACTCCCTGATTAGGTTAAATATTTACTCTGAAGATCCCTTTAGCAGCCTATAAATATACAGAGAAAAGTACTAATTTTATATAACTTGTTATGTTAACATAGTCTGCAGAATTAGGAAAGTGATTTAAAAAGTGAATTGTCAGATGTCACCAACATACCGAGTAACCAAGACATGACTTGTTTCTGGCAAAATAGATTTGGGCCTAATTAATTTAGACAGCAAAAAAAATTTCACTTTTTTTACAAAAAATTCACCTTCTGTTAACATGATGTCACTGGCATAAAGTTACAACTCTAGCTCATCAGTTATAAAGTATGAACTTTCTAACTCCCTAAGGAAGGCAAGCTGTTTCTATGCACCTCAGAGCTGAGGACTGCAGGATTTCTTAAGACTGTGCCTCAAATTGGGGTGAAGGTGAAGCTGGACAGAGTCCAGGAACACAGTGATATCTGAATCTACATTAGGATTCCCCTTGGAAATGAAAGAAAAAATTTCCAATTGCAGATCATAACACAGTTTATTTATAGATGGCTCTAATGTAGCCACAAGGAGCAAAAAGTATACAAAAAGTTTTGATATTATTCTGGAATGTTAAATCTTTTTAAAGTGATACAAACCTCCTATCTAACCAATGGGGTGAAGGCACAACTGGATCCAGCTGTCTCCTCTCAGTGCCCTAACAGCACATCCATTGCCAAGTTGTACTGGGCCTGTTTCTCCATTCAGACTTCTGAGCATTAGCTCATCTACCTGCTCTTCCTGTCATGCTCCCCTGGCAAAGGTCCTGTCATCAAAAGCCATCACCTTCAAACTACTAAGGCAAAGGCATATCGGATTCCTTGCATTCCTTCCCTTCTCACCATGAATCCTTCAGTCTCTTCTATCTATAAAATGTCCATACCCTGTTTAAAATAATAATAATAGTGATAAACTTCCAAGGAAATGAAAGCTGGAGCAGAATCCCCTTCCAATTAACCATATCAGGAAAAGGTCAAATAACCTTCCCAGGTAAAGTCTTATCTTCTGGTCAAGAAAGTTGCCAAAGCCTTTCTTTCTACATGCAGAAGTAACATCCCTTTGCTGGCATCCTCACAATGTCCGTGCCCTCCTCTTTTCTGCATGGGCTCTCTCTTTACGGGTCACAGGCTGGAAAATGCACTGGTGGTGGTACAGTAACAAATTTACATGAGTTTCCATTAGTTAAAATTTTTAGAAAAATTTTTTTGAGAAAACTTGCAAGTCACAAAAATGACCTAAATTTCCACTATTCAATCTTCTCATTTACATTCTTTCCCATGTCTCAAAATTCACCAGACTTCAAACACTTAACAAAGCTACAGACACATAAACCATGCATGAAACATGAGCTAGGCCTTCCACTACCTGAGCTGTCAGCAGACATTCAGTCACTCTGACAGAATACTTAAGACGCTAAAAAGTTACCACAGCCTGATAATGGCAATGGGGTCTTAACTCAGTTCTCATAGAGCCGCTAACTAGCACATGTCCAGGATGGCACAAGCAGCCACTGTGTTCTACAAGGTCACTAGTCATGGCAAGACAAGCATGAAGGCAAACTCAGATCCTTTTGAAAATAAAGAATATATAGCCGGGCTCAGTGGCTTAGCCTGTAATCCCGCACCTTGGGAGGCTGAGGTGAGTGGATTGCCTGAGCCCGTGGGTTCGAGACCCCCTGGGCAACTTGGCGAGACCTCATCTCTACAATAAATCAAAAAATTAGCCAGGTGTGGTAGTGCGCGCCTGTAATTCCAGCTACCTGGAAGGCTGAGGCGGAAGGATCGCCGGAGCCCAGCAGGTCGAGGCTGCGGTGGCCGGGAGCCGCCATTGCACTCCAGTCTGGGCGACAGAGTAGACTACAACTCAAAAAAAAAAAAAAAAAGCAAATAAAGAATATGTTTTAGAATATATGCGATCCAGGGCCACAGAGGCCTGGGGCTAAATTTGAGAAAATAATAAATCACACTATTTAAGCAATGAACTACCAAGCTTATGCTCTTTGTCCCTACCTTAGGGAAAAAGGGTCCTATCACTCCAGGTAGCCACACTGAGTCTTCCCAAGTGACAGGCATTTGTTCCAAAGAACGGCATCAAGACAAAAAACAAACAAAAGTTCAAATTTGTGGCCTGTCCTCCAGTAATTTACTATACAATTCAAAATAACTGAAGGAGTGGATTTGAAATGCTCACAGCACAAAGAAATGATAAATGCTTGAGGTAATGGATATTTCAATTACTCTGATTTGACCATTACACATTTATTCTTGTATCAAAACATTACACGTACTCAATAAATTTAAACTATTAAGTACCCATAAAAATTAAAAATAAAGAAAAGGACAATTGAATATTCAAATCCTGTTTAACCTTGAATACCACATTTCGGTTTGGTCTTCTGAAAAAAATGACTTCCCAGTTTCTCAGCTAAAGAAAAAACATTGTAGTTCTTAAATTATACGTTTTTTCTTTTCAAAAATACATATTGTCCAATGAATCCTCTGTTAGTAAAGAAGAAGACCAGTCTTCCTAGTGTCCGAGCACAGCTTTTTACAAAATACGAATAAAATGCTATTAAATAATCCTTAAGTACAACAACTTTCTCAGCCAGCAGGATCAGGAACTCAGGGTCTAGCTTAAGTCGGGCATTTAAGAGAGAATTACGATCCCGGAGACGAATGTAGGCGACACAAATGTAATCAAAAGATCAGTCGACACTTTATTAGAAGGAGGCTAAGCAAATGGTTATTTCACTTAGGATTAGGGGATGCTTAAGTTCAAGAACCTTGAGAGCCTGGGAAGAGAAGGGCCGAGGGTTTGACGCCTGAAGTTTGCATTTCCGCAATTGGTTAACACTACTCCGGGTAACAAACCTTAAGGCCAATACTCCTCACCATCTCTTTATCCCCGCTGCGCACCACGCATCACCCGCAAATAAAAACAGCTACTACAGCACACCCCTTCGGTTCCGCAGGAGGCTGGGACCTGCTCCGGGCACACAAGCGGGTGCAGGCGGCTGAGGACCGCACGCGTGCGGGCGTTCGTTGGCGCCGCGACCGGCCGGGAGGCCCACGCCTCCACTCCGGCCAGGGCCAGCTGGCGACCGTCACCTTTGGACAGGCGCATTCCCGGAGCCGGCCCGGGCTTGCGAGAGCGGCGCAGCCCTCCGGACCCAGCCAGGCGCGCAGGGCCCGGCGCCCGGGCGGCTCGGGGCACCTGAGGAGCGCGGCGCAGGCGGGGACGGCACTGGGACGTCTCGGGAACCGGGAGGCGCGGCGGGGCACGCGGCCCGCCCGCAGGACCCACCTGGATCTGCAGCGGCACGAGGCGCAACTTGCAGCGCTCGCTCACCGCGAAGCCCTTGGGCAAGTCCACGTACTGGCCCCACTCCTCGGCGAACAGCTGCACCACGAATTTGCGGTGCATGTCG